TCCAAAATTTTCTAGCTTTTTTAGACATCCACCAAGCATGATAAAATATCCCTTCTTGTTCCCATTTCCAACATAAATTTGAAGTGCCTTTGTAGATTCAAGACAATTTCTCTGATATCATATACCAATGGTAGATTATTTTATAAAAATCCTCTTTAAGATTATAACACAATGTAAATTTCAATCCTTTTAACCACATGTATTCCCATTGTTCAATCTCAATATTATAACCAAAAATTTTAGCCCACTTTATCATACATTATTTCACTTGTTCTTCTGTTCAAATTTCAATAAAGGTTTATGCATTTTAGCAATCTCATGTTCATCATTTGTACATAATTCCATTTAAAAGTGAGTCTTAGAATATTCAATATCATGAATTCTTTTGTCTACTTTGAATCTTTCTAATAACTGTAAATAGGAAACCAATTGACAATCATGTCCCCCTGTCATCAGTTATTCTCTTGATTCTATTTTGTATTCCTCTTGTCAAAATTCTAGTATTCTCATGGTATGTTAACCATTTGTGTATGCCTTTTATTTCTTGTGTATAAAATGCTTCGTGTGCTGAGAGCCACAAAGGTCTTTTCTGGTACAACCTGGATTTGTATCTATTCCATATTCTCAATATGGCACCTCTAACATAGTGATTTTTAAAATATACATTAACCTTGACTTTATCATACCACAAACATCCATGCCACCCAAATCTCAGATCATGTTCTTCTAACTCTAAAAGTCTTCTATTTCTCAGCAGCACCCTCTTTCATCCAAATTGAACAAGAAGCTGCAAATTACAATTTCAAAACAGGAAAACCAATCTTCCTCTTTCCTTTGCATCTTGTAACACCTTATATTTAACTTGTGGCTTTTCCCCTTGCTACACAAACTTAGACATATGCTTTTGCCACTGTTTAAATGGCACGTTAGTTGTCAAAACAGGTATTGTCTGAAACAAAAGCATCATTCTAGGCAAAACATTCATCTTTATCACAGAAATTCTCCCCAACAATGACAACTGTAGTTTCTCCCATCTTAACAAGTCTTTTGTAACTTCATTCCATGTCTTTAACATAATTATTTTGAAATAACATGCAATTCATATTTGTCATAGTGATACCCAAATATTTTTTCTCAAAACTCATTTTCTTCATCAATTCTGTTTGATCCTCTATTTTCATTTTTTTTTAACATCTTTGTCTTCTGATTATTAATCTTAAAACCTGCTAGGGTACCAAATTCTTTTAATTTTCCCACGAATATGTCTATTCCTTTAGTGGATCCCTCAAAACCAGCAACATCTTTTCTCCCACAATTCTCTCATTTGGTGTTATATCGCTAATCAATATTTTACAAACTAAAATGAACAGGAGAGGAGACAATGGGCATCCCTGTCTTGTTCCTTTTTGTATCATAAAGGGTTTTGTTAGATCTCCATTGACAATTATTTGTGCTTTCTGTGAGGTGTAAATCAATCTTAACTGTTTATTAAAATTCTCTCCAAATTTCATATCTTCCAAAACTTTAAACAGGAAAGCGTAGTTTAAATTGTCTAAGGCCTTCTCTGCATCTAAGAAATTCTATGTGGTTGTTTTTCATTATGTTGCTCCAAGTATTCCAAAATGTCCAACACATTTCTAATACTATCTTTATCTTTTAAGAAAAAACCCACATTGATCCTCATGAATAAATTGTTGCAAAATTATTTTCAACCTCTCAGCTAAAATCATTGTAAACAACTTATAGTCATTATTCAATAATGATATTGGCTGATAGTTTCTTGCTGAAGTCAAGTATTGTCCCTCCTTAGTAGTAATGCTATTATTAGCCTCTTTCCAGCTCTCTGGCATCTTTTCCCTCTGTAAAATAGAATTCATTGTACTTTGTAAAGGTTTTAACAATTCATCCTCAAAAGCCAGTAACCCATCTGGTCCAGGCACCTTTCCTGTTTTAGTCCTTTTTATAGCTCTGCAAATTTCCCGTATTGTTATAAGTCCATTGATAATCTGTTTGTTTCTCCGCAACCTTTGTTAAATTTTGTTTCTTTAAATATTCATCCATTTTCTCCAGGGAAATTTCTTGTTCTTTATATAAATTGAATACTACTGATGAAATACTTTTTGCATAGCCACATTATCTGTTATTACAGTAGCTCCCTCTTGTAATTTCAATATCATTTTTCTTTTTCTTTTCGTAATTTGTACACCAACTACTTCCCTGGTTTATTTGCAAACTCAAACTTTTTTGTTTTGCATAATTCATGTTTATTTCCATTTTTCTTATTGTTAACATAGATAATTGACACTGTAGAAGCTTAATTTGTTGAGAAATACTACCTTCTTTGGAAACTTCTTGAATTCTTTTCTTTTTATCTCATCCAAAATAGCTTGTTTTCTCTTGCCTTTTCTTTTTGAGTTCACTATTATGTTGTATAAAATAACCCCTTATGAAAGCTTTGCCTGGGTCCCAAACCATTGTATGTAGAATACCGCAGTATTCTAATCAGAATTTCTTTAAGCACAGTTACATCTGTATTAGCAAACTTCAGTCTTGTATTAAAATGCTGCTGCAGAACTTGGTCTCTTGTCTTCTTCCTGACAAAGTGCGCCAGGACATCCATTGGAATGTTTCTTAATTTTGCAGATCTTGTAT